CGAGTAAAATTAATTGTACGTACGTAGAGTGCCAGAGTGCCTCTTCAGTTCCGTATATATGTACGTGGTGTGTATTTATTTTATATATATGGGGCTCCTCAAAGCTAGAATTAATGCACTTAGCTTTGTTATTTGCTCCTCGTACTATATAGGGCCCGTTTGGTAGAGCTCCGGCTACCGTTAAAATAGCTCCAGTCAAAACAGCTTCAGTCGTGGATTCACCTGTGGACCAGATTCACTGGAGGAGTTGAAGCACTTTTTGTGAACCGTTTGGTTAAACAGCTTCTCCTCATAGATAAAAGGATGAAATAACAATACCCTTTTCTTTTTTTTCCTATTTCCCTTTATTTTATTTTGCTCTCTCTTTTCTTTATTTTATTTTGCTCTCTCTTTCCTTTTTATACCTTTCGTTTTTTCCTTCTTTTTACATTACCTCTCCTTTCTTTTCTTTTTTCCTACCTTATTCGTCGCTCGCAGTCCAACCAACGCGAGAGAATCGACCTCGTCTTCTACCTCCGGTCGCCCACACGCCCACCGACGCCCGCGCCTGGGGTTGCCAGGCGACCCGCTCTCCCACGACCCCCAGCGAGCCCCTCCTCTACCTCCGGACGCCGCATGCCATCCCGCCGCCGCCCGCGCCTAGGATCCCCCGGCGACCTGCGCTCTCGCAACCCCCGGCGTCCGGCGCTCCCACGACCCACGGCGACCGGCGCTCACGCGGTGGCGGCCCCCGGCAACCCGTGCTCCCGCGGTGGCTGCCTCCGGTGACCAGCGCTCGCTCAGTGGTGGCCTTCGGCGACCCTGCGCCTGCTCAGCCAGTGGGGGCAAATCTGCCCATCGTCCTGCGCTTGGACCCACAGCAGGTGACGGAGCCGGGCGAAGCTAGTTTTTCTGGCTCCCTCTCTCTCCCCCCTCTCCTCTCAGCGCCTTTTCCGGGGCTCCGCGTGAGGAGCGCCTCCGTTTTTTGCCGTTTGGTTGCGAGAGCCGAAAAACAACTCCCGGAGCCGTCCAAGAATCCATACCAAACGGCCCCATAGTATTGTGATTTTGGAGCTAGCGAGGTGTAGCTAGTGCATGCATTCAGCAGTGTACTGTGAGAGCGAGGAAAAGGGCTTTCAAGAAAGCAGTGCACTGTCTGCTGACTGCTGCTGCTTGAAGAAAATATATATGCATGCATGTGGATGTGGTCTTCAAACTATAAATATATATCAACCATCTTCTAGTTGAAAGCTCTGTTCGTTGGCAGCTTGTATCTGTCCCATAATTGCATTATTGGCTGGATTAGTTGGTTAGCCATCACCCAATTTTATACACTTGTAGAATTATTGTACTATTTACAAACAATACTACACTAGCTCGGTGGCATCGGAAGGAAAGTGTTGGATGGAGGAGGCAGTTGTTTTTTCTTTTCTTTTGAAAAGGGCAGTTGGAGCTTGAAACCTAGAAACTTGGAACTAGGTCCTTTGTATATTATTGCCTCTCTTTCTCGGTATCTGATCACTACCCTTTGTTTAAAAAAGGGGCAGTCATCAGACTACCACCAGACCATCAGTCATGCTATGAAAATAAATCAAATTCTCAAGTCACTTACCTTAATTACAACATAGACCAAGTGCACAATAAGTATCTGCAAAATTAAATGCAACACCTCTTGCACATACCAATTGTGATGTTCGCTAGAACGCGAATTATATCCATCAATCTGTCAGCTAGCCTCTCTTAATTATTTCACTAAACACTATTATACTCTTGCTAAGTACTAACACACCCACATTAAAAGTACAGACCACTTATATAAACTGTAACTTCAAAAAAAAATGTTATACCACAAATGGTTGTTAACCTTTTCATATATATGCTGCCTACGGAAAAGAATTGAGGAAGAGACGAGTCTAAAGTCTAAACTACATGCATCACTCCAAGTCATATATAGTTGCATGCATTATTTAAGTATATTACTATATTTTTTAGACGATAAAGTATATTACTATATAGTATATATATTATAGACATATGCTACATAGTATCGATGTCATATTATTCTAGGCATATAAATCTGGTTCACAGAGGAAAACATACTAGAAAATCTAGTATATGTTTGATGTTCCTTAGAGAATATGTAATCGCAATACTTGTATATTGCTGTTTATATTGAATAAAAGTATGTAAACTTTGAGTTTCTGACCCTCTAATTTATTATTACAAAGCTGACGTCTCTAAGAGAACATAGTTGTTTCTCTCTTGAAGCGTATAGAGGGAATATATCATCGCAAGCATATTGTTATACTTATGTGGCGCCGGTTACAAATATCTTTGATTGTGTCATATGTGTGCCTTTATGTTTTCAGTCTTGAAAAGTCTTATAGTTTTTTCTTTGCAACATTTCTAAAGAAAAGGTGTAGAACACATGAGGAAATATCTCACATGAGTATGGGTATATGCTTCTGGGTCACTGGCACTAATATAGAGGGCAAAAGTTAAGGTCAACTAAAAGCAAAATTTAATTGACAGCCTTTTCTGACAGGGATCTCCTTCCCAATCCAAAAGTTTCCGCTATATATCCTGATATCTTCCTAGCTACCCTTATTCTATAATTCATAGGATGATGCAAAAGTTGCTACGTTCTACTCCAATGGCCATCCGACAACACGTACATTTATTATTTCAAATATAAATTCAAGCTACCTACAATTTCAAGCATGATGCAACATTTTATTTGTCCTCTACAGAATGGAAGCATTGCCATTGGAATGGACCGGCCTGCATCCAACAACACATTTCCTCACGGCATAAACATTTGCATAATGCCTTGAAATTGTCAATAAAAATTCATGGATGATGCATGCAACCATGGTGCACACTGCAATGGCTTTCTGCATCCGACAACACATTTTGCCTACGTATACACATTTGCAAGATAATACTGTTTTCTAAGGGTGATGCTGGAAACTCACCTGCCAACATTTGCAAGACAATACTGTTTTCTTGGCCCTGTTCGCTTGGCTTATAAGCCGTACTTTTTCAGCCAACAAATAATATTTTTCTCTCACAACAAATCAGCCAACAGTACTTTCAGCCATGGCTTATCAGTCAAGCGAACAGATATACCATCTTGAGCAATGCTAACTGCCCCACCATAAAACTATACTAATTAAGGCAGCAGGAACCAATTGATGCATATGCATAGGAGGTCTGGGAGACTCCAGCAGCCACCTAGGTCACGCATGACCTGCACGATTGCCACAGTAAACACTATATTAATTTCCAATCAACCAAGATAAGATATCCAAAAACATCTCTTGAACTGAGAGTTATTCATACAGGGTTTGAAGATTGTGTCACAATACTAATTATTAGTGGATGCAGTTACCTGTGTAACAATTCAAAGGTCAATGGAACATAACCCTCCTTTCTTCAGGCATTTCACAGGAGATCACTAGCGATAGCTTATCTTGATTACTGAACATTTTCATACTTTCATAAATAATAAGATTGCATGTTTCGTAAGGAAAAAAAATGATTGCATATGTATATTTAAGGCACCTATAAACTGGTGATTTGTCCGAATTTCACCCATCGATGCGCATGAAAGTTTGACTTCAACTTCCATATTGTTGTACTGGTATTGCTGGAGATAAATTTCTTGTTAGAATAATCTACTGCTTCCTTGTGTGAACACACAGTAAGGGGAAGACGGCGCCTAAAAGGCCCCCTGCTGTTATATTGTAGCACTGCAGGTGTAGGCGTCGAACGGCTCACCTGCAACACTGTAGCCACCACATGTGTTATCTAGTTACTGTTACAGCATGTGCGCTGTATTAGAACTAGATGGATAGAGTTGTATAAATAGACTACCACGACAACTCAGTAAAGATAGTTCAGATTTGCCATCTCCCATACAGGGCTTCGGCCAACGCTGGTGTCTTGTACTGTGTGTGTATGCTCTGTTCTCCCTCTTCTTCAACCTCTAGCCATAGTGTGTGGGGACGGACAATGCTTGTTCGTGGTCGGCTTAGCTAGTGGGTGCTCGGCAACATTAGTGGATGCTCGGCAAGACTGGTGAGTGGTTCACTCACCTGAGCCGGTGATCCTGTGGGCTGACACCCCTTTCAGCTCAATATGGTAGAGGAAAAGAGAGGAAGAAAACAATTTGAAAGGGCTCAAATCTGCAAAAAGTTAGCATACTCAACTTTTCCATGGCACTTTGTCTGCAGTCTGCACGGGTTCCAGAATAGGGCACCATATATTTCTCTTCCACACATAATTGCTTCTTGACTGTTCTGCTAGCATAACGCAAATTAATGAACATTCTGTAGCTCCAATAAACTTTTAACTTCAGTAATATAACATAGTGACTTCACAGATGTACGTAGTAGCCTAGTAGGTTGATAGGTTCTGAAGCATTAAGGGTCAATCAAGTGCAAAATCTATTATGCAGATATTTATTATTTGGGAGATTTACAGGCGATACATTGCAAATGTAAAAGACCACAACAATGTGTTCGATCTATCTAACTGAAGACCGGCTGATGTTGTACCCAAACATTAAGTATCACGTACAGCAACCAGAAAAGAACAATGTGCTGGATGGCCAAACACATGCATATTGTCAACAAATTTTCAAGACATCTTTGTGCGTCTCCATTTGGGACCTGTGAAATAATAGAAGTTTAATGTTTCCTGCAAAATATAAGTAAGGGGATATGGAAAATAAAATTTTATAACAAACACTAACATTCGATCTAGAAAATCTACAAACTGAAACAAGGGTCAAAAGTAGGACTAAATTGTACAGGCATATCAATCCTTCCCGGCCTAAGATAACCGACACCCTTTGCTAGAGAAAAATTCAAATCACCAGACAGCCTTTTGTGTTGCCACCTGAAAAAAAGTAACTGATTCAACGGTTCTTGATCATATAGAAGTCAAATCTACATTTCACTGTTTTCTACTTATCTTGATATAATGAATCCAGCTATGGCATCTAACAGTTAGAACAATCACCGCTGGCCACAAACACAATGACCCAGTGCTAAATCACGGTGACTGAAAGAAACATGGACAATCTCAAGAATCTTAGCAAAGCAGCAAAGAGAAGGAAACGACGTACCACTCAGCATCTGGAAAACAACAAAAGCAAATGTGAAAAATAGGCCAAGGACATCTGATGAGGAAGTAATCATCAGAATGAATAAAGAGTGCAATAACCTGGTTCACTATGCTCATGTGGAGGAACAAAGCAGCTTTGATTTCCTCATCAGTGCCTATCAGTGATATATCTTTGAATTTACACACTGTCCAAGTACTAAATACTCAACTGATCACCACCTCAAAAGCAAAAGTAGTAGTTATCTTTCATCACCACCTCAAAAGCAAAAGCAGCAACTTTGATTTTCCTCATCAGTGCCCATCAGTGATATATCTTTGAATTTACACCGTCCAATAATCAGCTCATCACCACCTCATTTTTTTCATATCACTTTGAAACTCTTGAAAATTTTAAGGATGATGCATGCGACCATGTTGCACAATGCAATGGCCTTCTACATCCAACAACACATTTTCCCTACGTATAGATATATTTACAAAGTAATAACATTACTAAAAGTGATTGTTATGTGGGGACTCAAATATGATAGGCGCAAGAAGAGCAAGGATTGCAAGGTTGTGCCAGACGCAGCTCAGCAAAGTGGCTAAAGCAAGGTATATTTAAATAAATTATGGGCTTCAGTTTCGCCAGAGAAGTTCAGAGGGCAACAGCAGGTCGTTCAGAGTTAGCCATTAGTTGGTCATTAAGAGATTGATTTAGCTTCAGTTTAGATAGATAATAAATTAACAAAAGATAGATAAACTAAAAAAAGAGGCTGTGAACAGCTAAGTTACAATAGATGGAATCTACATTGCCCTTCCTCGTGCTGTTCATATATAACTGCCTCCTGGTTGTAGTGTGCCATTGCCGGCGCCCAAGCTGTGGCCTATACACGACTACAGTCTACGCTATCGTCCATCCACTAATCATTCTCCACCATCTCAGTGACACTAGAAACTAACCTGCCAAAACCATCGTGAAGCATGCCACTGCAAACACTAAACATCACCTGAGAATTGAGTTCATAAAGGGTTTGAAGATTGTCACAGTACTATTAGTGGATGCAGTTACCCGAGTAACTATTCAAAGGTTAATGAAATATTATCCCCATACTTTCTTCAGAGAATTTTACAGATCACTAGTAACTTATCTTGCACTTTTCACACTGATGACATAAAGAATAAGATCATATATTTCATAAGAAAAAAAAAACATTGCATAGATTTAAGCCACCTATAGGCAGCTGATTTGTTCGACATCATTAGTGATGCAGCATTGGAGTAACTCCTTTCAGCTCGATATGGTAGAGGATAAGAGAAAAAAAATCTGAAAGGGCTCAAATCTGCAAAAAGCTATACTAGAAAGTAAAAAATTAAATATACTTTTACATGGAAACAATAAATGTTTTAAATGATTAGATAAAAGGAAATTTATAAAAAAAAGGATGTGCAAAGAAGACAAGAACTAAAATGCCAGAAAATTGAAAATATAGTTTCTCCAGGTTCAATCAATCTGTCACAAAGATCCAAACGTTAGCATGCTCGACTGTCATGGCACTGTGTGTTAGTACTTAGCGCAAGTCCAGAATAAGGCACCATATATTTCTTTTCCGTACATATTACATCTTAACTGTTCTAACATAATTTTTTTCAAAAAAGACTGTTCTAGCATAAGGGAAAGCAATGAGCATTCTGTAGCTCCAGCAAAGTTTTAGCTTAAAATAATTTAGTGGCCTCGCAGCTGTAAGTTCTGAATCATGAAGGGCCAATCAAATGCAAAATCTATTATGGAAGATATTTATTTACTTGAGAGGTTTACAGGTGACACTGCAGAAGGAAAAGACCCTAACAATGTGTTCGATCTATCTAAGAATCTAACTTGAGACCGGCTGATGTACCCTAACATCAAGTATCACGTACAGAAACCAGATAAGAACTATGCGTAGGATAGCTGAACGCATGCATATTGTCAACAACTTTTTACTAGTCATCTTTGTGCGTCTCCATTTGCGACCTGTAAAATGAAAGCACATTTATGTTTCCTGCAAAAGATAAGTAATGGGATATAGAAAATAAAGTTTTATAATTATCACAAACTCTAACATTCGATCTAGAAACTTACAAGCTAAAACCAGGGTCAAAAGTAGGACTAAGTTGTACAACCATATCAATCCAGCCCTAACACAGCCGATACCCTTTGTTAGTGCAAAATTCAAATCGCCATGGACAACTTTTTGCGTGGCCACCTGAAAAAGAATAAATGATTCAATCGTTCTTGAGCATATAAATGTCAAGCAGTAAATTTCACTGTTTTCTACTTCTCTTGACAGAATGGCCCTGTTCGGCTGGCTGGAAAAACGGCTAATGCTGATGCTAATGCTGATTTGTTGTGAGAGATAAACACTGTTATTTAGCTGAAACGGTACGGCTGATAAGTTCAAGCGAACAGGGCCTGAATCCACCAATGAATATCTGTAACTGTTAGAACATTGTTGCTAACTACAGTCAACAGACACAATGGCCCAGTGCTAAATCATGGTGACTGAAACAAGACATGGAAAAAACCAAGGATTGTGGCAAAGAAGGAAAGAGAAGGAAATGACAATTCGCCATCTGTGGAACAAAAGTCATGGTGACTGAAACAAGACATGTAAAAAACCAAGGATTGTGGCAAAGAAGCAAAGAGAAGGAATCGACTACTCACCATTTGGGAAACAACAAAGGCAAATATGACAAAAGGCCCAGGGCATCTTGTGATGCAGCAACCATCAGAATGAACAAAGAGTGCAATAGCCTGGTTTACTGTGCTCATCTGAAGGAACAAAGCAGCTCTGATTTCCTCATCACTGCCCATCAGTGATATATGTTTGAATTTACACTGTCCAAGTACTAAACAATCAGCTGCTCATCACCTCAAAAGCAAGAGGTTATCTTTCATCAGAAGGAAAAGCACTCACTGCAAAAGGGTTTGCAGTTCTTGCAACCCTATAAAAAATGGCTGTAGTAAGAACTATGTAGCTTCCAAAAGCAGCACCACTTGTAATGATTTTCTGTACTCTCCATTTATCTGGTGACTTGTTCAATTCCACCCTTTCGAATAACATTGCGAAGGATGTACCTGGAAATAAAAATAGAAACAAGAAAAAAAATAAAAAAAGACAACATATATCGCAAATAAAGGTTGTGGACTTTTGGAACTGATGCTCACAGTAATTACAAGCGGTAATCATGAAAGCCAGGATACTTGACAAGTCAAAGTTCCATAAATGTAAAATGACACGGATACCAAACTTCATTACAATTAAGATTGGAGTTAGACCTGCAGGACCCTGTACTTTAGAAGGATTATAAAAATAATCACAAATTGAACTCACAAGATGGACAGTTGATGAAATGGTGAATATCTGCAGAAACAGCAAAATACTGCAAGTTAATATTAATTTATCATGATCGAGATACAAAACATCTTGTCAGAAATCAAGCCTCTAAATGCATCAGAATGACCTACAGTGTAGCTTCTCATCATCTGACAAATCTTCCTACTGATTTGTACAGCCGAAAAAACAGGTATCAGCGCAGGCTGAGTCAAAACAAGATCAGATTCACTTTTTGTGTAATCAGTTGCATCAGCAACTGAAATTCCAATATGGCTTTCTCCTATGGCATCATGATCAAGAAATTCATACCCAACCATTGCACAATGACAACCAAAATTTCTTAGTCTTCTTACTATATCGCTTTTGTCCTCTGTCCTAAAATATCAAGATAGCAAAATGGTAAACAAGAACTTCTTGCAGAAAAAAAACTTTGCCAGGAGGACATAGAAGATAAGGATAGACCTGGAAAGAGATCAGAAATCCCGTTGATGTTTGAATGGACTTCTCTGTTATTGCGAGCTAACTCAAACACTGAATGTGCAGGTACCACATTGGTGCCTAGTTTTCCAAGCTTTCCACAAACCTGCTTTGTGGTCGACAATGTGCTCTCTGTAGAGAGGACAAAACAATATATATATGATGAAGACATGTTTATCAGAGAAAATGACAATAGCAAAAATCTCGACAGCAGGATATGCACAACAGAATCACCTGTGAGGACTCTTATATCTAAACCCAGATCGATAAGGCTATCAATAGCATCAGCACTATCACTTCTAAGGTCATCTGTGTAAGGCAGAAGGGCAATAAACTCCCAACATGAGTCTACCTGGAGGAAAGCAAAACAAACTAAATAAATATAGATCGAGTTAAAGCATGCTAATGCGAAATCGAATTGCCTACTTGATGTCCTACAGCTATGGCCTGATATCCATCAAGAGCAAGTTCATCCATTATCATGCTTATTTTCTCTTTAACTTCTTTGCTGCAGCCACATTGATGGGCAACCTATAGCATGAAAACATATAATGACTAAGAGACACACTCTACAAACAAAATACATGCAACTGCATGAATGCATGTTTGTATGTGCATTGAGATGTTGGAGGAACTTGCATGCATGTCTGTCCCTGTAAGTGTGACGGTATGTTTGAAATTGCAACAGCAACTTGCCTTTGCAGGATCACCTTTGAATACGCAGCACTTGGACCCATTGCTTTCATCGATGTATGTAGTCTGGAACATCAGCTTCAGTGCAACAAAGAAACAGGCATGGTGCTCTAAGACTTCAACACCAAATCGTGCCTGCAAATTCGTATGCATCTTTATTTAAAAGAAGCACAGAGGCGAGTTAAAACTCTGCTTAGTTAGAGAAAGCAACCTGTTCTGGATCATCAAGGAGGCGTAGGATAGCTGCATCAATTGGTTCGATGTACAACTCATGTTGAGATCTCGACGCCCGTGCAGCTAAAATTATGGCACGGTCTTTATTAACACCATCTGCAAACATCTCAATCTTGTCCCGGACAAAACAGGGCTGATTACAAGTTAAAGTACCAGTCATGTTGAAGAGGATTACATCCATACTTGCTAGATCTTCAAGTGCAACTGTCCCTCGGCTAGCAATCCCCAGAAAACAAAGCCTCACAGATCCCAATGCCAATGCCAAGTAGAGAAAAGTAGGCATTGCCATCGGAATTCCACCAATCAATGGCATAAAATGGGCGTTGAGTGGTATGCCACTGCAGTTTTGTTTCTGGAACAAAAAGTTTAACACTATCTCAGCAATAGTGCCAACAAGTATTAGGGAAGCACAGAAGCAGCCAGCAAGCATGACTCCTTCTTTAAGCTGCCCAGGTCGAGCATAACGTTGTGGGTAGAGCCGCAGTGTGCTTCCGGGAATGCCACGGCCAGTTGCAATGACAACAGCAGTTCCTTGGCCACAGGAAACAGTCCAAGCATAGTATATGAGGAAGCCATGCGCACAATCAACAGACCTTTTGGCCCAGCAAGTCATTGTGTCGATTTTCTGAAACCGAAGTACACGAGCATTGGCTGGGACGATGTCCCCAACCTTGAGAAATATGATATCCCCTGGGACCAGATTTGCTGCATGTACATCTCTCCACCTCCCATCTCTCAGAACCTTGGCCCTTGGTGCGTGGGCCTTGGTCTCCAGTGGAGCCTTAGCATACTCTAACACAAGCTTTGCAATAAAGCATGCTATGAGGCTTGTAGCTACTATGAAAATTACGATGGCCATCTCGCATGATCTTTGGCCAGCTGAGGTGATGGCAAGAGACACCATTGTAGTCAGTACTGTAACCCACGACATGGAGTTAAGTATGATCCGGACCATGTTATTGTACTTGGGGAAGACATGATTCCATCCCCAGAGCGAGAAGAGCGCCGTCAGGAATCTTTGAAGCATGCTGCCCTCCTGCAGAGGCAGTTTCAATGTAGATGTTAAACACCCAAGTAATCCTGATGGGAACTTTTTTTTTTTTGGTTCTGAACTAGTATGTTTTTTTTTAAAAAAAAAAGAAATTTCCAAACTAGTATGTTGCAATTATTACACATGATACTACAATGAAAGAGGAGATGGTCAGATAATGAGACTAGCAATATGTGTAGTTGGTTCCAGATTAACCATCAAAGAAGGGTTATGGAAACAGGTCGTCCAGGGAAATTAAAGGAGATAGAAACTGTGTCATGCAAAATGAAGATGAGTGCTTTTGGCATTGTCCTGTTACCAAACATTCAGCACCTGAGCTAAGCAATTTCTTATCTGGTTCTTATGAGCTGTGGAAAGGGCATTTATATTACTGAGTGGTGCCAAATGATCCCCAAGTACGTAAAAGAGAAACGAATTGATTAGTAAGGAGCATATGGTAGTGGAATAGATAACGGGCGCAGGAGTTAAGCTGCAGGTTGAGAAGTGAAGGCAGCAAATGGCGGAGGAAGCGGACACGACGTGCGGGAGGAGGGATCCAGAGTGGAGACGTACGTGGTGCGAGAGGACGACGACGTTGGGGCCGTGGAGGCGGAGGCGTCGCGCGGCCTCGTTGTCGGTGAGGCCCGCCTCCTCCGCCGTGCCTAGCCGGCGCAGCACCTCCTCCTCCTCCCCCGTCTCCTGCATGCATTTGCAATTTTGCAACAAGACCAGGCATCACAATCACACATCGCGATGGCTGGACCAGCGGCCCCGTGCAACCGAACCGGCGGAGGCCTGAGGACACTCACCAGGTCTGCCATGGCCATATCATCCGACGACGCCATGTGCGCGCCGCGCTAGTCCCCGTCCCCCTCCTCCTCCTCCTCCAGTCCTCCTTCCGTTTCCGTCACAAGACACGACGGCGAGGCCGAGCAGACGGGCCAACCAACCAAGCAACTCGAGGCCCAATAACAACAATATACTCGAGTCCAAAATCCAGCCCAAATGGAGACCCTTCGTCGCGGTGGCAGGGCTGGCCTAAGTAGGGGAAGAATGGGCCCATATAGGCCCGGTCCACTGGAGGACGAGCCAGCAGGCCAGGAGGGAGAGGGAGCGGGAGACGATAGATAAGGACGACTCCCCCCTCTCCACAGCAACTGAAAACCAAAGAAACCGCTGCCGGATGCCCACCAACCAAAAAAACCACGCCTTTCCTCGCCGCCGAGGCTCTCCACTCTCGCCGCCGCCGCCGACGGAGAAGCCGCAGAGCTGCTCCCTCTCCCACTACATCCGGGAGCGCGTGGCTCCATTCCATTCGCGCTTACCCGCCCGCCCGCCCACCGGAGGTACGTCCCCAAACGGCCCCCACCTCTTCCTTCCTTCGTTTCCCGGGCGGCGGAGAGTCTGGGCTAGGGTTTTGCCCGGCCTCGCCGTCCCGGGTGGGCTCCCTGACGCGCAATCCGGGTAGGGTTTGCGCCCGCAGCCTCGGCCTTTGATTAGGGTTTAACTTTAACCCCATTTGGCTGCAACGGGCTTGGGATTACCTGTACGCGTCTGCCTGTCTTTCTCCTGTTTGCGCCTGGAGTCCTGGACTGCCTGGATTGGGCGTGAATGGTTGGAAGAAGATACGGCTGGAGGCTGTCTGGGTTCTGGAGCCTTGGTTACTGGAACAGATAGTCGCCTAGCGGAGCAATCTTTGGCTCAATTCTTTAGGCCCTGTGATATTTGATTGCTGGGTACCATCTCGTTGGTCACTGTTCAGGTTTCGGATCATCTGTCACGGTAGGATGCAAAGACTGGATTCTTCCTTTCTATCCCTGGTAATTAACTCACCAGGGAAAACAATGATTAGTTCTTTTGATGAGTCCAACAATGGCCTTCCCGTACATGTGTGTTAGTCATGCGTGAGACGCATTGGCAATCGGCTCTGGCTAGCTGAATGTGCTCACTTTGTGTTCTCTTCTGTATCTGGACTTGGCATCCTGTTCATGTACATCATGTGATTGTTAGTACTTGCAACTTCACCTGTAGTTGAAATTGATTATTCTGTGTGTTTAGTTACCTCTGACATATTCTCCTCTCATGTCAGATCTCCCCCTTTTGTTTCGCTGTGGCTGTTCATTCATCCCATGCTTTGTTTCTAAAGAAAAGGATGTCATTCATGCTTTACTGTTGATCTGATATTCCTTTACTCATGCATCTCTGCTGTAGGTTATCCTGGTAAAGCGATTACATTGAACTGTGCCGTTGAAGCCAAAGTTTACTCCATTAATCTAGATTGCAAATAGGCGCCACTCATTGATGTGATGGCAAATGAGATAATTGTGGGATACCCTGATTTCTTCTACAGGATAAATCTTGATCATTTCATTTGTTGGACACTGGATCAACTGGTGCTGTTATACATAGAAAGGAGTTCATTGTAAATTCTCATCTATATTTGGTGGTGCCATAATCATTTTTTCACTGGCGTTTGGCAATAATGTCGGAGAGCGAGTTAGCAGTAATAAAACCAGAGGTACAATTCCCTGTGCCTTTCAACTCCCCCCCCCCCTATGCGGTCAAATTCAACCTATCTTGAGATTATTGGTGGTGAATTATAACAGGCGTTGAAGACTTATATTTGGCTTCAGTGCTTTGATGGTTCCATACAGCAAGTGGAGGAGGAGGTTGCGATGTTCTGCCCCATGATATGTCGGGAAATTGTGAAAAATGGCACAGGGTCATCCAAAAATCATGCTATTGCTCTCCCGGAAAGAGTTAATCCAACCAGTTTGAGTTTGATTCTTGACTATTGTCGGTTTCATCAGGTCACTGGGCGCTCAAACAAGGTACGATACAATTTTTAATTTTCCTGTATATCTCACTTGTTGAGTCTACATAGGTTCCCATAGTCTTAGTAGTTTTTTTTTCCTTATACATGCTATGCAGGAGCGGAAGTCCTTTGATGAAAAGTTTGTTAGGATAGAAACAGAAAGACTCTGTGAATTGACTTCTGCAGCTGACAGTCTACAGTTAAAGCCACTTGTTGATCTTACTAGTCGAGCACTTGCTCGAATCATTGAAGGAAAGACACCTGAGGAAATTCGTGACATTTTCCATTTACCAGATGACTTAACAGAGGTTAGAGTGTCTTCTATAGTTTCAGATATTGAATCATCAAATACTTATTGTCAAAACTTGAATGCCCTCAGGAAGAGAAATTGGAGCCCCTAAAAAATATAAATGATGATCCTAGGATTCGCCTATTGAACCGATTGTACGCGAAGAAGCGGAAAGAGCTCCAGGAGCGCCACGAGCGCCAGAAGCTGAAGGTAAATATGATGGATTGTACATGTTTGTGTTCAGCAACATTTTCTAGCTTCACTCAGTGGTGTTCATGTTTTATGCTAAAATCTAAAATCTGAAGTTCACTGTATTTCAGGATGTTCAAGTACAAAAAGTGCAAAAAGATGAGAGATCTTTGGATGAGTTACTTTGTTTTATTAATGGGGATGGAGGTATAACTACAGTGAGTTATATTGACTATATGACTTGTGTTATTCTGTTCACTGTTTGTTCCTGGGACTCTTTAGATGACTTATATCTGGCCTCTTACTGAGGCCAGATTTTGGTCAATTTTACTTCCTAAGGCTCTGTTCTTTGTAATATGGACTTTCTGTTACACTGGATTTTGGTGGATTTTCATCATTGTTTCACTTTGAACCAAAGTCCAATGGCTGCAACATTTGCTTAATTAGTGTTTTGTTTAAATAAATATATTCTTAGGCTCCATGTAACCATTTGACTGGTTCAGGTGGGAGAGCTACCAAGAGTAAGAAAAAGAATAAAAGAAGGAAGGATCATGCTAAGAACCCTCCAAAAGCTGACTCTGAGCCTTTAGATGCGGTTAGATTTCCTGACCATTTCCCCTACTGTGTATTCCATATAAAATATGTATTTCTTACATGATCTATCTGGGAAGTTTAGGAGGGAGCTGCTTGTGTGGTTCCATGCAAAGTGGATAGCAGTAATGTTTCTAGACTTCCATGCCAGAATCCAGATATGCAAGATGATGCTGAGTACCCCTTTGAAGATGCTGACCTCGATGATGGACTTGATCCTGCAATGAAAGAAGAACTTGATAGGTGAGGATATGAGATATCTCATTGCTGTATGCATGTAGACTCTTAGCTTTGTTTTTCTTTTGATGAGTCATCTTGTTTTTTGTTTCATTGGAAGTGAACTTTTTAGTCAGCTTTATTTTGTGCCTACTAATCTGCTTCTTAATTCACAAAACATGTAGTTGTCCCTGAAATGATAAATCTTGGAGGTTTCTGTAGTGAGATGTGAAGAACTTAAGTTGAGTTCAAAATTGTTGCTTAATATTCTGTCAAATACAACAATCCATGAAACTCAATTTCAATTTTACTTGGATCGCGGGGCATGTGCTCATTATTTACTCTAGGCATAGTGCAGTAGTGCTGTGAGTGCTGTGGCCTGAAATAACGACAAGGTTTGTTTTTAACATGCAGAGAAGTTGAGGACTTCGCGAGGAGGTTGAATTCAGTTTGGAATGAGTCACATATTGGTGGTAATGGTTCTGTGCAGAGATTTCCTGGTATGTTTTCCATATATAATTTCCTTGATGAGGATTCTGGTACTATAGTAGTGATTTGGGGAGGGCGATTTATCAGAGATAATGCAGGCCATGTATCAAACATTATTACTAGAAAACAAAATGTTGTTTGATTTGCATGTGTCCTGCTATTACGAACTAGCATATAGTGTCATGTGTACAAGGGTTAGCAATTAGAACTGCTAGTATCAACTTCAAATTGTTTCCTTCAGGGCTGCATCTTGTGTTTCACTTGAATAGTCTGTTGAGTGTTGTCAGATGTATCCTGTATTCCTGTAGTGAGTACCCTGCTTCTTTCACCTAGTTTTTTATTAATTAGTACAAGAAGGCTCTCTTACCAAATTTATTTGTTGGTGGAATTGATTCGCCGCACTCTAGGCTTAATGGCCTAATTTATTCCAGTGGAAGGTGAACTTGGTGACCTTTTTTTCTATGTTCCTACTAATCTGAACATATTGGCCTCTTCTCTGAGCGATGTCAGTATCATCAGTGTGTAACATGATTGGGAGGGTACGTTAAGAGAATATATACAAATTAAAAGAGCTTAGGTGTTGTGTTTCATCCGGCCGTGAATGGTCCAAACTATCTTTTTGGGGAAATCGATTGACATTTTTAATCTTGTTTGGCTATTTGCAGGGTTTAATCACAGGTGAGTGTTACGCTGGCAGGATCAGAAGCAGAGGATATTTGTTTACATACAGCTTGGAAGAGAGTGAAGACCAAACAGGCCACTTGGCTCCTGTGTGTGTAAAACCTTGATAACTCGGAACCAAGCATGCAGACATGCGCAGAGCTTCCCTTGGTCATTTTCTGGGGAAGGAGGCCGCCTAGTTGGGATGAAGCATAGCGTGGTTCAGGACTCAAGGAAAAAGAGTACTGTTTTTTCTTTGGGAAGGGAGGGTTAGAGGTCTGTCTTGACTCGTTTTTTTCCTTCGCTGCTGTGTTGCCAATTTTCCTGAATAGGGGAAGAGAGGGAGTGGTGTTGGCTGTTGGAGCTGTTACAGATATCCATGAAATTCCGTTGATTCACTGTATTGTGGTGCACATAAAAATGTGGCGTTGTTTGGCTGGTTTGCTGACCTTACCTGGGTTGGAATATACCATGTTACCATACCTTATTATTACTGCGTTGTGACTGTTGTGAAAATAAGCAAGGAGGCTTCTGGACAGCAGCATCTTCCTGCCTTCTTTCCTGACTATTCTATCTATATCTATACCTATTAATAA